TTTGAGGGAAGGGTACAGAAATGGTATGCAATGCCAGTGGCTATAATTTAATATTCTTTCACTACCCAATTTTTTTGTCTGCTGAGGGTGGGAGGGATGAATAAGGTTATCCCTTCCCTTTCAATTCTCTATGGCAACCAGTATATTTGAGACAAAAATGAGACAAAAATAGTTTTAAGATGGCAGGCAGCCAATCAAATTCATGCGAGTTGACACCTTTTTCAAATATGAATAGAAGGTAATGACGATGCATGTGGAAGTTATCTTATCATTATGGCCCTTAAGTTGGTTAGAAATAAATTATTTATTTGATATGCTGAATGGATAGAAATAGTTAACTGAACTTCGTCCTGTCAAGTTGGGCTTCCTGTGTTGTCTCGGTCAGTGAGTTGGGACTTGTTGAAAAAAGAAAACAAACAAACATGGCCGACTTTTGTGGCCAAGTTTTTTGTTTGGTTGTTTCCTCAAATTTTTTCTTGAGCTAACCCAACTAGTGTTTAAGAGTTGTTTAAAAGTAGCTACTAGTCTCAAAAATAGCGAAGAAGTTTAATTCATGGATGTAGATGTTCAAAAAAACACAAATACTCGTCTCCTCAGTGAAGACGTCTACCGTCCTTTGCGATCTAAAGGACAAAGCTATGCAGCTCCTTGTACTATCATCCAACATCTAAACCACACTCTTGGAAACCACCAAGGTCTATTAGTAAGCGCCTGCAATTTTGCAGTTCATGATGACTCCATCCTAATCACTCAAACGACATTTCCAGGTTCAAATACAGCCCACACTTTCAAGGCTGGCTTCGTTCAAAGTTGGGATTTGACGGAAGATTCCGAGACAGGACACGATGACAGTTTGTTCACCTACGCACCAAGACCTGAGTTTTCCTTGTCTCCAAACGAAGGGATAATATCCTCGATACTTAACAGTGGAAAAGGAGTTCTTATTCTGGCGGAGATTGATGACGATTCAACTCTAGAACCTTGCAAGTTTGAGTGCGTTTCGAAATTTGGGTCTGATAACTTGAGTGCAAAAATAATAAGTTGTGTTTTTTCTCCAGATGGTAGACTGGTAGTAACTATTAGTGTTGTGTTGTTTAATGCTCTGCTCGGTCAACAGTACCATGATATGTGCCTCTGGAGGCTCGGAAAGGCTAGGGTTTTGCAGAAATGCTCTAAAATTCGATGTGAAAACCATCTTTCTGGATTTTCTGGTGAGCCACAGAGTTGTATTTTCTCGCCTGATAGCTCGCTCCTTGCCTTGTCTACAACAGATAGTCAACTGTATGTTCTTAGAAGTAACAGGTTGGAGGTCTTTGCAGTTATTCGGAGCACAAGAACTCTTGGCAATAACTGTATGTGTGCATTTGACCCTTGTGAATCTCTTACAAAACTAAATATTGGTTTATCAGATGGCTTATTTCAAGTATGGAGATTGATTCCTGGGAATATTGACTGTGTATTTGAAGAGAGAATCTTGTCCTCGAGTGCCGACAGGCTTACTTCGATGGCATACACTCTTGATCACTCTTTATTAGCCTTTGGAACGACAGCTGGCGATATCATCATCTATGAAACAGAATTATACATCCAGCTATATAAATTAAATCCTAACGATGCTGTAGATGTAGACAATTTGCAGGTCTGCTCTATTGCTTTTGCTAAATCCTGTCAAGAACTTGCAGTGGGTTATGATGATGGGTGTGTTCGCTTATGGCAGCTGCCGGTGAAGATGAACTTACAACACATGTGTCGGCTGGAGATTATCCAACTATTGCCAGAAAACATGATTTATAGATTACCATTACCTGAACCCTTAAGGGCATATCTCATGTTTAAAGTGTCCTTTGCCGTTGACTCATCAGATGATTAAGGGATACCTCATAGAATTTAGGGACTGCCATAAAAATGGTTATTCATGTTTACCCATTCATAACTCATGGGGGGGAGGGGGGTCTATGTGGATTTGAGGGGGCCAGCAATTTTTGGAAGCAGCAAAATAATAGGTTTTCAAAGGGGGAGGAGTCTATGAAAGGTATTACATCAAGACTCAGAATTCAAGTAGCCCCTCACCCCACTCTATAAATTATGAATGTATGGATTGACTTTAAAGTATGGATTGAATCTAAAATGACTTGTATAATCAAAATTATAGTGGATATCTAAGTATTGAATGAAAACTAAAGCAAATAAAATGATGGTATCACATAACGAAGATCCAAACACTAATTGCCTTGCAGCATTACCATCACTAAGATGTCTATAGTAGAGGTAATAGCTTAGAAGGATTTTACTTGGCCGTTGAAACAAAATCATATAGATAGTGGCTAACAGTCAAAGTAAAATAATACAAAACAATGGAATTAGTGTCTACTAATTAGCAATTAGTCCCCTAATTGGCCTATAGCCCTTGAGACCAAAGGCCGAAGGTAAGGGTAAGTGGAATAATTGTTTTTGTCAAATCCAACTAGTCGGTCAAATAGATGCAAACAAGTTTTGAATTAAAATTGTGTTATTTAGTTTTCAAACTCTGGTACTTTTCGCTACTAGTAGGCTATAACTTATAGCCTAGTAGTAGCTCATCCAATCAGAGTGCAGCATTGATGACAGACCGTTAGTTGGATGACCATCTTATAATCATTACTCATGTGGCAGCCATGTTCATTCTCATGGTAATGAAAGCCTTTATTTAACCCACATAAATTTATTCTTGGGCACTTAAATGAGAAACTAGACAAGGAGAAATTTATGTTCCAGTCAACATGGTTGTTGCTTGAGCAAAATCCCTGCAAGATTTGTAGTCCAAAGCTGTTTTTGAGGAAAAGAGTACACAGGAAGCCCAACTTAGACAAGAACATTTGCTTGTTCAGTGTTGGTGTAAATATTAATGTATAGATTACTTGGAAAAAACATGTTTGTGATTTCTCATCACATAATAATCTTCATAAGGGTCAAGGTCAAAGTCGACCAATCACATTCAAGAATTCTCAGTACTCAGTACAAAATTTGTTTAAAAACTTCAAAATTTTATTCTCTTGGAAAATCGATTTTAGCTAAAGATATTTTCCAAAACTGGTTAATCGTCTTTGATTTTGCATAAAAAATTATAAAATTGATGACCCCTTAATTCCTTTTGAGATTCAAGATCAACTCGGCTGCACCTGCACTCTTCAATTTTGAAGGCACTTAAGTTTTCCCCAAGTACATTTATTGCAGAGTAATATTTCAAAGGAACCGTACTCTTATATCTAAGTAAACTTTAACTTTTGTTTTGTGAAGTGCCCATTTTTCTTTCACAAAAGAAGTAAAGGTACATCTTCTGACTACTTGCTAATTAGTATTCATATTTTCATTGGATCTTCTTTTTTTTTTCATTTTATAGAAAAATTTTAAATCCTAAAACAATTCTCTTGTGTAGAATATTACAATTCTGAGGGTGGTTTTAATTATTTTACTAAATACAGACTTCTCCCTTAAAATATCCGCAAGAAACTTTTCAACAGTCGTCAATAACTATGTTCTTCTGCTTCAGGCTATCTTTCGAAAAACATTTTAAATCGAGACTTGGTGACCGACTTCAGGCGAAAATATCCGGTTTGAAATTCGTGAACTGTCGCTTCTAATTTTCACAATTGTTATTAGAGGAAGGAAATGGAATTAAAGGCGAAACAAATGAACAATATCATTATGCTCCAAAATTAAATCTCTTTCATTCGAGCTGGAACTTTGCTGAAATAATCT